CGATCCAGACCAGCATGATGGATCAGATCCGGACCAACATGATGGATCAGATCCAGACCAGCATGATGGATCAGATCCAGACCAACATGAAGGATCAGATCCAGATCAGATCCAGATCAGATCCAGACAAGCATGATGGATCAGATGCAGATCAGATCCAGATCCGATCCAGACCAGCATGATGGATCAGATCCGGACCAACATGATGGATCAGATCCAGACCAGCATGATGGATCAGATCCAGACCAACATGAAGGATCAGATCCAGACCAGCATGATGGATCAGATCCAGACCAGCATGATGGATCAGATCCAGATCAGATCCAGACCAACATGATGGATCAGATCCAGACCAACACAATGGATTAGATCCAGACAATCATGATGGATCAGATCCAGATCAGATCCAGATCAGATCCAGACCAGCATGATGGATCAGATCCAGATCAGATCCAGATCAGATCCAGACCATCATGATGGATCAGATCCAGACCAACATGATGGATCAGATCCAGACCAACATGATGGATTAGATCCAGACAAACATGATGGACCTGATCCAGAACATATCCAGACCAACATGTCTGGATCAGTTTCTGCACCCCCAACCCATCCATTACTTGAACTAATTATTTTTTTCCTGGGTCACTGAGTACCAAAATAATCATCAGTTTTAATTTATGTGCTAAACCACAGGAATGATCCTTTAAAATGTAAATAAGTTATAATGAAGTGAATTTTTGTTAGTATTTCCTGAATGATTCAATAAATTACATGCAATGGTTCATGAGATGTTTTGCTAACAGAAAGATAMTTGCCATCTGTCGGTGGGTGAATGTTCAGCTGCAGTGTCTCTACCTTTAAAAACCTCCAGTGAAAACGTTCCTGCTGTCACAGCTGTAATGTTCTCCTGCAGTGTCTTCTATCTTCACCGTACCAAATGTCAAGCTGCAGACAGAGAGCGGCGACAGCATCCAGGTGTGTTCACGAAAGAACAGCCAGGGAAAGGCTTCATCTGGGAGCAAACACTGACCTGAGGCGGCATCCTGCGCACGACTGCCTGACAGGTATGTGCTCATTAACATGAGAGCTGCTGCACACAAACATGGAGCAGGAAGCAGCAAACGGCCTGAAATCTTTACGTTTACTTGATRGTAATGTTTTACCCAAAAACAGAGCAGCATGTTCCAGATTTAATGTGAAATGTGTCAAAACAACAGATGCTGAGTTGAAGACTAAAGCTTGGTAACAGGTGAGATTTGTGGGATTTCCTGTGTTCTGAAGCTAAAAACACTCTCGTGCTGCAGAGMTGGATCTGAGGAAGAACCTTTGTTCTGAGCTGCAGTCAGAAACAGAACCAGATCACAAAGGTGGGAATGTTCAATCAGACAGAAGGTTGACAACTATTACTTCAAATATTCGTCTTGTATTTAAGTTCCTTTACTTCATAATGAACATGCAAATCATTTGATAGCTGATAAAATGAGCAGGTGAAACAGTCTATTTGTCAAAATCAGAGCTGAAGAAGTGTGTTTTTTTAATAAATTTACCTTTATCATCTTAATTAGATTGTTTTAGACATTTTCATATTAATATCAAGACAATTCCAAATACTTGTTCCCTGAATTACAGCAGCGCGCCTTCAGACTGGTCTGAAATGGAGGTTTTACAAAAATCTCTATTCCCTTAAGGTTATAGTGACTCTCTTTTAGCACATTTTAATAGAATATTAGAAGGTAATATTTTTATGAGCTTTATACATGTTTTGTAAAATACTAAAAATAATCAAATCATAAAATTTTAATAATTTAAATCGATGAAATAATGTATTTTTTTGGGTGTCCATAGCACTTTCTACTAATAATTCTTATAGCTCTTTTTGTAAAATAAAAATAGGATTTGAAAATGTCTTGTAAGCTCTTCCCTAAACTTCAATACAATTACTTAAAAATGGAACAGTGGTTGTGTTATACTACAGACATTTATCATTTAATAACTCTTTTACTTTATACAGCAATTGATTTGCTATTTTTATTCTTAAATAATTTATATGAGATTTTCATGTCAGCTTTTAATCAATGACGACACCCAAAAACTGATGAAAATATAGTTGGGATTTCTACTATAGAATTTCACATAAGTGTATATTAGGTTTTTCACGTGTGTATTTAAAGTATGAATTGCACATAGTGTGAAAATGTCACATGGGTGGTAAGAGTCACGTGAGCAGCTGGTATTAATAAARGCCAGATAAACTCTGACAGATTCTAGTAGAATCTGAAACGTTTTCCAAACTGCTGGTGTTTCCCTCTGAAGTAAACAACTCTAATAAAATAAAAACCATGGAGAACAGATGACAATAAGTTCAACTTTTCCAGTTTGAGGCAGAGTTTCACTCCAACAATCGAGCCATGATGGATTCTGGGCTGGATAACAAATCCACAGATCATCTTCAGTATTTAATGAGTTCAGATTTGTGTTCCTGTTTCTGAATTGATGTGATGTTTTTGTCCTCTCTGGTGTTGACTGGTGCAGGCATGGTAGGACCAGGTGGTGGGATGAGACCGATCACAGGTGTGTTTGGTCAGTGAMGCAGCAGCTCTGCAGTTTCTGGCAGAATTCATCGTCTGGTCTTGAAACTCATCTTCCAGCGTCTTCACAGAACACACGAAGCAGGCCATGTGGCTTTTATAGGAACTTGGCCTGAAATGATGCTGCAGATCTTTGATGTAGAAAACTGGCTGTTCCTCTCCCTGGTTCTGTTCACAAACCACTTCCATGTATTTACTGTTGCCAGGCTTTCCAGAAATTCCTGCAGAGTTGTCAACGACGGCTAAGAGGTTTTARTGCAGCGGTACTGAGCACAAGTAAACACCACGGAAGGAAAACGTTATTTAAAAATATATATTTTTGACCTTTAAAAACACAAAATCAGCTATAGTTCAGCCACTTTTCCTGATACTGAGCTAGAATCTGATGTTATCCCCGACCCATTCTCTTCACTCAACTCATTGTTCTACATCTCTGCCTACTTCCTTTGTCTGTTAGCAAAATATTTCATTAACCACCYGACAGATTTCAATGAAAAGTGCTGTGTTGTAAATGTGGCAGGTTTATGGTAATGTGCTTATTAAAGGTTTATCTCTTGGTTCTGACGTGGTGACTCGGGTCAGGAGGTGTGTTTGGTCTGCACGGCTCAGGACTGAGTGGGAGAGCGGGGGGCAGTCCCTTTCTTTTACGCTTCAGATAAAGTCCTGCTATTTGCATGAAATCAGAGGTGAGAGGCCAGGCGTGGGAATAATGGCTGGGTTAATGATGGATGTGCAGCCCGACCGGACCAGGACCCAGACCCATGGACCAGATAATACGTGTAATCACTGACAGGTGCATCGACTCTACAACACACATCATTTGTTGTTGCTTCTACAAAATATATATCTAATGGTCGCTGTCTGTTTGTGTGTGTGTGTGTGTGTGTGTGTGTGTGTGTGTGTGTGTGTGTGTGTGTTTGAGACTGAACTGTCGGCATGCATGCAGATCTTGTTGAAAGCCAAAAATCACAGCTCTAGCTAATCTGCCATCCCAATTGACAGATACAACAGAAATTGACTGACGGGTCTCTCTCTGTGTGTGTGTGTGTGTGTGTGTGTGTGTGTGTGTGTGTGTGTGTGTGTGTGTGTGTGTGTGTGTGT